TCATTCTCCCCACCCCCACCCCAGGAAACCACTAACATGTTCAATTCTCTCCAGTACACATCAGAAATTGGACCCCAGCTGACATGGCTCAGTGGTTGAGCCTCAATCTATGAACCAGAAGGTCATTGTTCAATTTCCGATCAGGGCACATGGCTGGGTTGCAGGCTCGGTCCCCAGTGTGGGGCATGCAGGAGGCAGCCCATCAATGATTATGTTATCATTGATGTTTCTATCTCTCCCTCTCCCTTCCTCTCTGAAATCAATACAAATTTATGTATTATATATTTTTAAGAAGTTAGATAATGGACATACTGGAACTGCTGGGTAACCTGACGACTGTTTAACTTTTTGAGAAACTATCCAATTGTTTCCAAAAGCAGCTCCACCACTCCACATTGCCATCAGCAATGTGTAAGGACTCCAGTTTCCCCACACCCTTGCCAAGACTTATTGTCCATCTGTTTTATTATAGCCATCCTCATGCATGCAAAGTACTATCTCAAGCATCAACCTTTTCTACCTCACACTTCAAAGTCCAACTCAAATATGATCACCATGGAACTTCCTAATGTGCTCCAGGATAGGTTTAACAACTCCCTTCCCCACAGTCCAGTCACTTATGCTTCTATTAGTGCCCATTCATTCAATATTTACTGAGCACAGACTACATGTCAAGCACTATTCTAAATGAAGATATAGTGAACAAAAAAAACCAAAAAACCTGTGCCCTTGTGGAACTTATTCTGATGGGGGAGAGATGATAAAGTCTGTGACAGAGAAAGACAAGTACCTTATATGTCTTCCACTTATATGTGGAATCTAATGAACAAAATAAACTAACAAAATATAGATTCATAGATAAATATTCAAAGACTAACAGCTGTCAGAGCAGGGGCTGGGTGAAAAGGGTGAAGGAATTAAGCAAAGGGAAAAAAACTCACAGACAGACAACAGTATGGTAATTACCACACGGAAAAGGGGTGGGCGAGGTAAAAGAAAGTATAAAAGGGGGGATAAATGGTGATGGAAGGAGATCTGACGTGGGGTGGTGAACACAATATACAGATGATGTATTATGGAATTGTACACCTGAAACCTATATAACTTTATTAACCAATGTCACCCTAATGAATTCAATTTTAAAAATTTTAAGTCTGAAATGATGGTGCTATGAAGGAAACTAAAGCATAGCATGGTGACAGAACATGCAAAAATCTGTATTAGTTTTCTATTGCTGCTGTAATAAATTAACATTTTTGGTTAGTGCTTAAAACAGACTTACTATCCCACAGTTCTGTAGAAGTCCCATGTGGGACTAAAATGAAGGTATTGGCAGGCTGAATTCCTTTTTGGAGGCTCTAGGGAAGAACATTTCCTTCATTTTTCCAGGTTCTAGAGGCGCCTTCCTCTATCTTCCAAAGTCAGCAACACTGTACCACTCCAACCACTCTTCCCTAGTCACATCTCCTGACCTCAGCCAGGCAAGATTCTCTGCTTTTAAGGACCCATGCGATTTTCTCAGGCCCACTCAGATAACCCAGGATAATCTCCCATCTCAAGTTTCTCAACATAGTGACAGCCACAAAGTCCCTTTTGCCATGGAAGATATAGTTACAGATCCCAGTAAATGAACAAATGAGTGATCAATTGTCATATGCTGATATGTCAAAAACAAAGTAAGGATTGAGAACTGACCATTGAATTAAGTATCATGGAGGTTCTGGCGACCTTTAGAGGCAGTTTCAGTGGAGTCAAAATCCTCATTCAAAGTGGGTTCCAAAGAGAAAAGTAGAGTGGGTAACTGAGTTTTGCTATAAAGACAAGAGAAAGGGGATGGTATCTGCAAGGACTGATGTGGGTGAAACATGGAATAAATAGCATGTCTATAGGCTGATGGGACTGACCTAGTAGAGGGAAACGAACAGGACAGAAAGAAGAACAGCTAAATCTGGGCCCACTGAGTAAAAAGGGGGTTGGAATCTAGTACAAGTAGAAGAGCCTGCCCTACAACTGGAATAAAGGCAGAGCATACAAGCAGACATAGATGGGTGAGTGGATGTGATGGTAGGAGCCTATGGACATTTTCTTGTTTCTATTCTGTTTTTTAAAAATGTTATAAGCTGAGACAAATTGGGAAAATGTAAGCTTTCAAGGAACATGAAAATAGGAGACAGAAATGTAGTAGGACTGACAGATGGTACAAAGGTCTACTTTAAACACAGAGGTCATGCCCTGGCCTGTTTGGCTAAGTGGATAGAGCATCAGCCTGTGGACCGAAGAGTCCCAGGTTCAATTCCTGTCAAGGGCATATGCCTGGGTTGTGGGCTTGATCCCCAGTAGTGGGCATGCAGAAGGCAGCCGATTAGATTCTCATTGATGTTTCTCTCTCCCCCCTTTTCCCTTCCTCTCTGAAATCAATAAAATAAAAATTAAAAAACAACAGAGGTCATGACTTTAGCCAGCAAGTTCAGTTGCACAAGAGCATAAGTGCAGAGGTGGCATATTAAACCAAAAAGGGAGTTGAGCCAGGCAAGTCCATATAATGAAACAAGAGATGGGGCAATCTGTGTAGCCAAAAGTGACTGTAACTAACCATGGGACACTGAATCTAAGCTGGATAATGGACATGAACTGGAAAATTAAGAACAGGTGAATGGGTCAATGAATTGTAAGTCACACAGTACTGTAATCACTCGCTCTGTTTATGTCTACATTGCTAACTCTTCTAGACAGGTACTCCAAAGTGGAATGTCTTTTATTTTCATTCTTGGTACTTGAACATGTAAGTTCGTTATCTAAATGGATGGATGAAATACTTACCAATGGTATAAGGGAAATTGCCTACCTCCAATCCTATGATTATATAGATTTTCTCCTCCCTCAGTTCTTTAAGAGTTCAAGTAAAAAGTTGCAATGCTTCATCAAAACCTATGGTATAAACAAAGTCCTTTGGAATGAGACAAGATGCTGAATTCCTAGTGTTGTGCCCAAGAACTGAACCAGAAAATGTAGCAGATGTATCCCAATAAGTTTGCCCTTACTGAACACCTGGGTGGCATGAAATCTTTGAAGTTCCCAACCTCTAATTATTTCACCTCCTTGCAGTAATTAGCAGGACCTAAAGCAGACCTTAAGAATACCAAGTTTTCTAGGGGAGCAAATGAAACTCAACCTGGAGTAGAGAACAAATGCACAAACAAAGAGCATGTAAAATATGTTTATTGTTCTTTAAAAGGGTTCAGGGTTTGGTTTTAAATCAGGCTGCACACCTTTCATCAGTCTGACATCTCTCTCACCATGTCAAACTGACTTCAGCTAGCAATACTTCATTAAGTCCAAAAGATTTTAAAAAAACCTTAATTTTGAGGAAGAAAATCCAGTTCTGAGAACAATTAACATTAGTCTGCAATTTAAAACAAAATGAGGGCTAATGTTTCATGTTGCTTTACACACTCTTCTCCTCATACAGAACCAGGAATGTAATTTTCCTAACTCAGGCAGGCACTGATACTGGTGGACACTGCTCGTGTGCATGTGCGCGCGCGCGCGCGCGCGCGCGCGCACACACACACACACACACACACACACACACACACACACACACACACACACACACCCCTATTTTTCCGTCTCTCCCTGTCTCCCCCTCCCCCCAAACAACAAAAATCAGAGCATGTCAAAGGGAAAAGGTTTGGTATGATATTGATCAAAACCCTTGGAGTCAACAGTCTATCTGAACTTAGAGAATATTCTGTTTTGATCTTGAGCCTATATTAAAGGAATCTATTGTCATGTTCTGAAATAAAGAATTTTGGATAGTACCATCATTTTCCACTTTAAAGTCCTAGAAACAATTCCAAAAAGCATTATTTAGTTTTGTTTTCTGGGGTAGCAGAAGAGAGCATCCACAGATTTTCATTTAGTTAAAAAGCTCAAACAACTCCGGCATAGGCGATAGGCAGTTCACAGAGCCAGCCAACATCTGAGGTATCACCAGTGACAACATCCCGGTCCATTCCTACTGGCCTAGCTGATCCTAACAAAATGGGAAGTTTATGGTTCTGCATAGCAAATTCCAACAAGACAATATGACCCTAAACCTTTATTCAAATTCTTAGAAGCAGAGCACTAACAAGTGTGTAATATTTAAATGAACAGTGCAAGAGGCTCTGATGGTGTCCTTCAACTTGCTTTGTCAATACAGGCTGGTCACAACTGCCTTCCACAAAAGAGCAGAACAATGGTTTTCTAGATCAGCACATTGAACCCCACAAAGAATCAGCAAAAATGACACCACCAATTTCACTAGCAACACAGTCCTTTTGCTACTGGTTGGGCTGCTTTACATCTCTCCCCTACCCTGTTAGGCCTGTGGACACATACTCACTAGGCATTGTTGGTTTTATCTCATAAAGAACCTAGTAAGAAAATAACAAGGCAATCAGTGGTTAAACTGAACTGTACATATAGGGGGCAGTTTGGAAAATACCCGTAACAGGCATTTTCTCAAGTCCAAAATATTGTGTCTTTGCTGCTATTCCACTACCTGTTCCTGAAAATTCAGAGTACAAATAAGTCCTAAAATAAAAAATTTTAACTACCAGCATTCTCTGACATCATTAGACAGAAAAGCAGAGTAATGCTACATACAGCCCACAGTTCTACAAGGTGTAGAAAGTGTGCTAACTCTCTGAACACATCTTTAGCGATGAACTGGAGTACTCCCCTTCAGAAATCAAATGTTTCTGTAATACCCACTTAGCTTCATTAGTTGGGAAAGAGAAGAATTCGACTCTCAGCTAAGTTCTTTGAAAAAAGAGACTCCTCTTAAAATGCCATGTCCCCCACTAACTTACCAAAACAAAAACCCAAACAAAAAAAGGCTCTTGGCTACTTTGCCTAATGTTGTATAGAGTTTTCAAGGAAAGAAACTAACATGAACACTCCATCATCAGTAAAAACTAAAAACCACCTGGATCATATAATATATATGCCACTGCTTTTTTTTTTTAATGTTTTTTGTTTTTTTCTAAAAGTGCCCAGGTGGGCTTAAGGCTGCCAGACTGCACGCACATCTACAGCAACAAGGGCTTCTCCTATTCCATCTACAACTAGTATCAGGGGGGAAAGAGGGATGGGGAAAAGGAAAGAAGAGAGGAAAATTGTAGCCCCCACCCCCTAACCCCAAATAACAAAAAAAGAAATAAATTCCACAACAGGGAGATAGACCTATGTGCCAAGCATAATGGAAGAGTGTGCTCCCCAAAGAGAAGGTTATGCACAGGCTAATGTTCTGCTGGTTTTCCTTAGAGACCTATTTTGAAAAAGTTTAAAAAGACAGGAGATTTTGAAATAATTCAATCCTGGCAGAAATTCAAACTGCAACACTAAGAGCAAAACCATTCTCCACTGAAGTAATCCCTTTTTTCTTTCTCTTTTTCTTTTCTTAAACATTTTATTCATGTTATAGAGGGATTTCTTTTGTTTTTTGTTTTCCAATCATTAGGAGAGTGGTTGAGGAGTACTGAATCCATCACCACTTTGATGACACAGTCAAGATTCCAGATTCACATTTCCAGGTACCAAGAGTTCCCTCTAAATGCCACAATCAAGTCAGCCTTCGTTTATATTTCTTTCTACTGAACACAGCAATGCCCATTGGTATCTCTGAAGCGTAATCGCATCTTAGGTCGGTATTTCTCCAGGTAAAGCAGCTGTTTGGAATTGAATGCTCCCCTTCTTTTTCTGAAAATACAGAATGGCAAACTTTATCGTGTACAAAAAAGAGCTGCCTTATTCACTGAAATGCATTATTTATGGCCTAAGGCCATTCTAACACCACAAAGCCGAAAATCAACATTTCCCATACAACATCACTTCTTAAGTTTAAATCAGAACTTTCTGTGCCTTCTGAGAAAAAGGAATAGACAAATTTTCTTTGCTGACTCTCACTACTCTTGTTAACCGTTTAATAAACATCAGAATGATTTATCCCAAGTCATCTAATATACTCTTTACCAATTAGCTTAACATATTTTTCAGATTAGAATTAGTAGCAAGTATTTAGGATGCATGAGTATTTATATGAAGCAGCAGGCACAGATGGCATTTCTTGAAATATGTTACCTTCCTAGAGCTGCTACCATTCATTTCATGCCGTCATTAATAGTCTTTTTCTTTCTTTTTTTCTTTCTCCTCTTTTTTAAAGAAAAGAGGAAAGGCTAAGAAAATAAATGGCAAAAAATTCTGGACAGCAAAATATCATGGCCTATCACTCCAGACTGAGGCCAAGATTCTGTCTGGACACTACCATCCTGATTTTATGCCTAAACAGGTCACTTATGAGTCCCAGGTGATTAACTGCTCCTCTACAGATTCTGGTTTGCCTCTTGGTCATAGAAATTGCATTTTAAAGATATTCTGGACATCTATTAAAAGAGACACAAGATCACTGAGACTCTTCTACCTAGCTATTCATTTTAAAGATTTTTAGATAGTCAAGTCATATACTGGACATATTCTACAATGTGCACATTTGCTGCCTAAATTAGATATCCTTTAAATCTGGGAGCTAGTAGTTTTACAAGTCTCTTTATCATTGGCTCTTTTTGATAATCAATCTTCAAACAAACATTTGAAGCCAAAGGCAGCAAGTTATTCCAGACTAGGAATGGATATTTTCCATAATTCCCTCCTCTTGTATGACCTTGCTTTATGTGTTTCTGAGTATAAAACTTCATACTTACTGTCTTATAAACTGAACTGCATCTTCATACTTCATTCCACATTCAATCAAAGCAAGTGCAACCAGCACAGGTGCCCTGCAGAGAGAAACTCAATTGTAAATATGCACACATCTTTAGAATTAAATTTTAAAATCCAGATTACATGTTACCAAAACTCTGATTTTTGTTATAAATCAATTTTAATATCATTTCCTTATCAATTACTAAAAAGATGGTAGACTTCAACAAAATCCTTTTCGTGAGCTAGGAGAGAGGGTCAGAAAATTGATAATTAGAATCAGTCTCAATAAAAGTATGTACTAGTATTTTTAAATGTAACAAAGGAAATGAAGTTTTTTTTTAAAAGTCAATTATAGGGCACTGACTTTGGACTACCTAAATTAACCCAAGTCAAATCAATAATACTACCTTTGCTCTTCAAGATAAGGACTGAAACTTAGAAACTTTACTAAACTATTAAAAAAAAGGAAAACAACAAACAAAAGGACTAAGCAGAGGTAAGAACCTGAGTCACCACTACCTGCACTAATGTTGTTTCTTTAGTGTTTTTTTTAATATATTTTATTGATTTTTTACAGAGAGGAAGGGAGAGGGATAGAGAGTTAGAAACACCGATGAGAGAGGAACATCGATCAGCTGCCTCCTGCACACTCCCCACTGGCAATGTGCCCGCAACCAAGGTACATGCCCTTGACCGGAATCGAACCCGGAACCCGAGTCCACAGGCTGACGCTCTATCCGCTGAGCCAAACCGGTCAGGGCTGCACTAATGTTTTGAGTCAAAGTACACATCATAAATTGACCTTTAACCTTCTGTTGATGAGTGTTGCAACACCATTCCATGCAATGCTCAAGGAAAAGGTTTTTTAAAAAAATTAAAATTACTTTTCATTCTCCATTAAACTCCACATCTCCTTTCAGGAGTTTAAGTTCAGCCATCTGCTCTCCACCTCCTAACTTCCCACACATCTCAATCCAAAATTAACCATGTACAGATTTTTTTAATGTTATTGCACATTTCAAAAGCCTGAACCTTTGGTTACTTGGTACAGCAAGAAAAAAAAAACTGAATTAAGAGTATATTTTTAGCTCAAAGATAAGACAATTACATTAAGTCATTTTCAGAACAACTAAACCACCACCCACTAAATCTACTATGGCATCAGACAACCAATGAAAACACAAAAAGCAGCTTTTGTTGTCATTTCCTTTCCTTTCAGGCAATTAAATATTTAGTGTAATAAATGAAAATTTCTACCCAAGTGAAATATTTGATAATGAATTCACAGACAAAAGGGTAAGAACTTACCTTCCCAATCCCGCAACACAATGCACTGCAACACAGCAACCTGGTTCTTCACGAAATTTGGTTTTTAATAGGTTTAGCCAATCGTCCACTATCTGATTAGGGGGTGGCGCACCATCATCAAATGGCCAATCCTGGAAAGAAAAAAATCTTTTATTTAAATTGGTATTTTCTCTAGGATTAACTCCTAATACTGAATAACTGCACAATACAGAGGGCAGGCCTACTTGAACTAACTATACCATATATACCTATTCTTAATAACAGGATTCTGGTCACTGCTGAAAAACGATCCAAGATAGAAATTCAAGAGTGTCAAATAATTTAGCCTTCTTCAATGAAGTGTAATCAGTGTCTAATTTTATCTTATGGAAATCTCTTATGATAGTGATAAGAAATTAATATTCCTCAAATATTTTGTCTGAAGCAATCTGTAAACAGACATAGAGAAAACTGTAAGCCCAAACAAAGTAAGAGAAGATACACCTGTTGATATGATTTAAAAGTCCACTCTGGCAAAGAAGTATACCAATAACTGGTATCTTACTGGTCTCTACATATATTTGTGAGGATTATCCCCCAAACAGTTCTAAGATATAGTCTTTTCTTTAGAGAAAGGCTCTTTGATAAAAAATCTCTAATAGTTAGCATACCATAGCAGAAGCATACTATCATCTTTGTGCTGATTTATACATATTTAAAAGCCATGTAGCAAATATTTTTAAAGCTTTGCCTAAATTATACATATCTCATTGAACGAGCACAGTGCCACATATTAGGGTCCCTAAGCAAATGGAGACCCCTTTCTTTCAAGTATCCCTTTCTTTTTATATTCATCACTAGAGACCCGGGGCACGAAATCTGTGGGGGGGGGCGGCACAGGGGCGGAGGGTCCCCTCAGCCTGACCTACACCCTCTCCAATCCAGGACCCCTCGGGAGATGTCCGACTGCTGGTTTAGCGGGATCAGACCTAAACCACCAACCAGACATCCCTCTCACAATCTGGGACTGCTGGCTTCTAACCGCTTGCCTGCCTGCCTGCCTGATTGCCCCCTAACCACCTCTGCCTGCCGGCCTGATTGCCCCCAACTGCTCTCCCCTACTGGCCTGATTGCTCCCTAACTGCTTGCTCCCCCACGCCGACCTGATCTCCTGATCTCGCCCCTAACTGCTTGCTCCCCTGTCAGCCTGATTGCCCCTAACCGCCTCTGCCTCGGCCCCTACCACTGTGGCTTTGTCCAGAAGGAAGTTGGATGTCCGGGAGGAAGTCAAACGTCCAGAAGGTGTCTGGTCGACCCGGTCTAATTAGCATATTACCCTTTTATTAGTATAGATATGCATGCGTTGGTCTTAATTAAAAAACAGCCAGGTGATTCTCTTCCTTGCTACCTTACAAGAGGTCCTAAGAAACCAATACAAATCAGCTTTGAAGAAGGAGGAAAGGGGACTCACATCTTACATATCCTTTTTTCCATCTAGCTTCAAGGACAGAAATGTAAAAACACTGGAAATTTTTTTTAAACATTAAGACTATTCTAATGAAATTGGATAAAAACACTTTAAGATACTAGAGAAGGAAAAAGAGAAAAGTGACAGACCATTAAATTGATTCTGCACTCATTATTGGCACCACTAAAACACTTCATGTAGCCCATTAGCCATGACAGTACATTATGTTTGATTTGTCAACTACACCCCATAATTAAAGGGCTGTCAGTGTTATCATTATAAATGTCACTACAGTTTAACTGTAAATAGCTATAAAACCAGAAAGTACTTTAGTTGAGTTTACTTCCTCTAATAACACTCCCTAAAATGCACCTAGTTAAGAAACAATAACACAAAGCATGCTTCACTTACTCAGACAAGCAGTAAAGAAATTCCAAGATTAATTTTAAATGTCCTTGTTTTTTCAAGCTTAAGCTGTTAGCCCTTTAATTTTTCTAATCATAGCTATTTAAAACAAAAGCCTAGATTTAAAGGTCTGGAATAAATCCCGGACCTACCAGCATTTTCTACAAATTAGTTCAAGTTCTTTACTTCATTTCTATATCATAAAGATATTTATCAACATTACTGAGTCAAACAGACTACAGTCAATCCACAGTTCATTTTCTCAACCTGCCATCTGTCAAAACAAACTAATTTCTCATCTAACCAATGGAGAACATACAGTAGACCCCCAGTGGGTGCCTGAAACCGCAGATAGTACAGACCCTATATATACTATGTTTTCTCCTAAATGTACAAACCTATGTTAAATTTTAATTATAAATTAGGCATAGTAAATTATTAACAATAAAATAGAACAATAATATAGTGTAATAAAGGCTATGCAAATATGGTGTCTCTCTCTCTCCAATCATTTTTATATTTTCAGTCCAAACCTACTCCTGAATCTGTGTAATGATCTCTTATTTGTTGGTGTTACTTGTTACTAGGCTTAAAGCTTTCTGGTGCAACACTTGCTGTCAATTGGAACATTTTCTGTTCATGTCTTCCACCCACAAATTTAATGTTGTTTCCATCTTAACTAAGCACTCATACACCAGCTATAACTTTTGCAGTCTGAGGTACACAGCAAAACTAGCATAAATTTCTTTTTCCTTCTTCACACTTTCACAAAGATAGAAGACTCATTCCTACTGTGATCATAGCAATTTCAGCCTACTTTTTTCTTTCCTTATTAAGTGGAGAACTTTCACCTTTTCAGTTAAAGGAAGCATTTTCCAGCTTCTCTTTGGCATATCTGAATTGCTAGTATCACTATTTTTGCACTTTGGATGGGATGAAGCAATACTTCATCATACTACTCAGAATAGCACACAATTTAAAATGTATCAATTGTTTATTTCTGGAATGTTCCATTTAATATTTTAT